CTTATTCATAGTTTAGCTTGTAGATGCATAGCAAGTAATTAAAAAGGCCACGGCTTTAATCAGTTGCACCTTTGTCTTTAAATTGGCCTCATTGCTCTTTAGCACTTTGGAGAGGTTCTTGACAGCAGATTTTCCCAGTGTAACATATCTTTTGATTTTTTTGACTGCTAGTACTAAGGTTGATGATTGTGGATCCAAGTAGGATAAAACCATGGACAATTTCAGCCTTTTCTTCATCTTTTATGCTGCTTGTTGGCCTAGTGGTGAGGAATTTTGTCGTCTTATCTTGAGATGTAATCTCTATTGAAAGCTCTAGTGTTTGATCTTCTGCAGCCAGTCTTTAAGTTCTCCCACTTTCAGCAAAGATGCATAACACAAGTTGTTGATGAGTCTTCCTCCAGTCCTGATGCCACATTCTTCGTAATACAGGCCAGATTCTCAAATGATTTGCTCAACCTACAGACTGATTAGGTATGGAGAAAGGATAAAGCCCTGACACACACTTTTCTGATTTTAAACCGTGCCTTTGCCTTACACAGAGCCACAAAAATGCCCAACTACTTTCTCAGCCAACAGTACAGACTATAACAGGTGCAGGCACGAAAGGCAGCTCATATAGTTTCACAGTCTGATGCAAGTTTCAGCTAGCATGATTAGAAACCCATTATGAAGGGGTTTTTTTGTTTTTTGGGATTTTTTCTGGCCATTTGGATCTTTGCCTCTCTTCTGAGATCCAAGATCTTACTCCTACTTGTCTATTTGACATATCCACTGCATGCCTAAAATATGTACCAAATCCAAACCAAGTCTTTTTGTACCCAACAATAATCCCTCTCCAAGGATAAAAACATCTAGGCTGTACCTTGGTTTTCTGAATCTTAGCAAATAATACCAAGTTTCATTTAACTTCTTACCCTAAACAATCCAGCGTCACTCTTCATTGATATGTGCCACAAACTGGTTATTTAAATTGTTGTAAAACATAGTTATGACCAAACAGACTTGTCTACAGGGAGGACTCAGCACCACAGTTGCTCAATTTACAATTGCTAAAGAGATTAATGGGATCAAATTGTTGAATAAAAAAGTAAATTTAACAACTGTAGAGTACAAGAGTTTCACAGGTCTCCACAGCTTGTGATAGCCACTGTGTGGGGGAGAGGGCACATTCGTTCAATGCCCCCAAACTTAATCCCATCTACCCAATCCTACTCATTCAAATATTCAGTTTCTTCCTTCAGATACTCATTTTTCTCAACTTTCTCCCTTGAAAACTGTTGAAAACACTCTGATGTTGGTCAGTTACACTCATTAATTAAGTGATGGGTTACATCATCCATATATTTACATTTTAAACATGTTGTATGTACTAACTAAACAAAACATGGGGGGAAAGTGAGAAAATAGGACACAGGCAAGCAAGGTACCAGTGCTGGTGAACCTGATGTTGCCATGTCAGGAGACTAGTGCATGAAAATGGAGCTCTGGTTGCCTAGTGGTAAGGAGTTGCTTTGCCAATGCAAAGGCAAGTGGTTCAAATCCACCAGTTGTTTCATGGGAGAAATTTGGGCAATCTCTTCCCATGCAGTTGTCTGCTTCTAAAATCCCACTGGAAAGCTGGCTATTAGTTAGTTCAAATCTACAGAACATAACAACAGCAATGCAGAAAAAGAAAAGGACAGGATAAAAAGGCCTTTGGCCACCCTCACTACAGGCTCCTATTTCTTCAGTCATCTTAGCCTGTTATATTGGTTTTGTTCTCGTTAGGTGCCATCAAGTCAAGTACTTCTTACAGCAACCCTATGAAAAAAAGATCTGAACCCAGTCGTGTCCTGCACCATCCTCAAACTTCCTGACACATAAGAGCCCAGTCACCATGTCAATTCACCTGGTTGAGGATCTTCCTCTCCTTCACCAACCCTCCACGCTTCCCAGCATTATGTCCAGCATCAGGAATAGCAACTCCTAGCAATATATCCAAAGTATGTGAGGGGAAGCCTCATCATTCTTGCCTCCAAAGAGCACTCCAGCTGCACCCTCTCCAAGATATATTTGTTCTCTTGGCCATCCATGAGTTGTTCAGTGTTCTGTTCCAATACTACAGCTCAAAGGCATCAATTCTTTTTCTTTCATACTTAGTCACTGTCCAGGTCTCAGATACATAGCTAGTAACTGGAAAGACTATGGCCTGAATCAGATGCAATTTAGTCTTCAAACTGACATCACTACTCCTCAATAATTTGGAAAGTTCCCTAATTGCAGATTTTTCCAGTGCAATGTGTCTTCTAATTTCTTGACTGCTTGTATCAACGTTGTTAATTGTGGATCCAAGCAACATGAAGCTGTTGACACTTTCAATCTCCTCTCCATCCATCATGACACTGCCTATTGCTCCAGCGGTAGGAATCTTTGTTTTCTTGATACTGAGACACAATCCATACTGATGGCTGAAATCTTTGATCTTGTGCAACAAGTAGTTCAAGTCCTCCTCACTTTCATGAAGGTTGTGTCATCTGCATAACCCAGACTGGGTGTTTCTAATTGTGGTAACAATCAAGTGTAAGTATATTAACTAATTGTATCTGATCTCTCTACAATCACCTTGAGTGAGAAGCCTCTCCTCTGGGCAAACAGGATCTGGTGGGTGGGCCTTTATATCTAAATAAATGTCAATTGGCCCCTCAGTCCTACTATTGATTATGTTTAGAAAGGACTGTTGTTCTAAGTGGTACAACACTTGTCTGTCAATTTGTTGTACTATGGTTACTTGCAGTGTCTGTGATACTGAAAGCTCTTCCACTGGTGTGTCAAATTTCAAATGGGTTTCCCATCATGGATGTGTTTTGGTGGAGTTCCATGATTAAGACAGATAGGGAGCAGGATGGCCATCTACTTCCTATATAAAACACTTTGGAATCCCTATGAACACTAAACAAAAAGGACAGGTTTAGCAGTGTAGTGATAGAGCCTGGATTGGAAGTCAGCTGAAATGAGGAAATTCAGTAACAAACATTTTTAAATATTTGGTACATGGAATGTTCATAGCTTGAATGTTGGAAAATTAGAAATTATGAAAAATGAAATAGAACACATGAATATTGACATACTAGGCATTAGTGAGATGCAATGGACCTGCTATAGCCACTTTGTATCAAATAATCATATGGTATACCATGGATTGAGGCTCAATGTCAAGAAGACAAAGATTCTCACCACTGGACCAATCGGCAGCATCAGGATGGATGGTGAAGAGATTGAGATTGTACACAGCTTTAGTTTGCTTGGCTCCATAGTCAACAGTCTTGGCACCAGCAGCCAGGAAATTAAAAGGCGCATTGCCATGGGAAAGTCTGCAGTTAGGGACCTCTCCAAAGTGCTGAAGAGCAGTGGTGTCTCTCTGGAGACTAAGGTGCGTTTGATACAGGCCATGGTCTTCGCAATCACCTGTTATGCATCAGAGAGTTGGACAATGACCAAGGAGGATAGAAGGAGAACTGATGCCTTTGAGCTGTGGTGCTGGAGAAGAGTACTGAGAATACCATGGACTGCTAGGAAAACAAATAGATTTGTCCTGGAGAGGGTTAAACCGGGTGGCTCCTTGGAGGCAAGGATTCTGAGGCTCCGTCTAACTTATTTTGGACATGTAGTGAGGAGAGACCGGTCCTTGGAGAGGGACATCATGCTTGGGAGGGTGGAGGGATGGCGCAGGAGGGGAAGGCCCTCTCTGAGGTGGATTGATTCAGTGACTGGGATAATTGGGATGGGAGTGTCAGAGACAGTGCGATTGGCACAGGACAGAGCGGAGTTTACGGCTGTTGTACATAGGGTCGCTATGAGTCGCAGGCGACTCGACGGCACATAACAACAACAACAACAATACTATGCAGCCTATGAACCTAGAGAGAGGATGAAAGGCACCCAAGCGTCGAGGACTCTCCTTCACATGGTCGCTATGAGTCACCTGCAACTCGACGGCACTTAACAACAACAACAACATACTATGCAAGGAATAAAAAACAGAAGAAGAATGGTGTTGCATTTATAGTAAAAAAGTCAATTTCAAGTTCTATCCTGAAATACAATGTTGTGAGTTTTAAGACAATATCCATACTCATACAAGGAAGACCAGTTAATTCAAGTATGTGCTCCTACATCTAGTGACAAAGAGGAAGAAATTGGGATTTTTTACCAAATTTTGTAGTCTGAAATTGATCAAACATGCAATCAGGATGTGTTAATAATAATTGGTGACTGGAATGCAAGAGTAGGAAGCAATGAAATTAATAGTAGTTGGAAAATATGGACTTGGTATTCAAAATGAGCCTGGAAAGAGAATGATTGAATTTTGTATTTACAATGATTTATTCATTGCAAATATTTTTTCTTAAAGACACAGAAGGTGACTTTACACATGGATTTCACCCAGTGGGCTGCATAGGAATCTGAGTGGCTAAAATTTGGAAGATACCATTGGAGAAACTCAGTATTAGAGTTAAAACTAGGCCAGGGGCAGACTGTAGTTCAGATTATCAATTACTCATATGTTTATTATATTAGCACTTTTTATAATTCACAAAGAGCCCATGTCCCATAAATCTAGCTTCCTGGAAGATTAAAGATGGAAGTCAACTGCCATTGATGTATGTGTGTCATTTCCAAAAGACATTTTTGGTATTTAAGGTTTTTGCTTGGAAGCAAAATCAAAGCTACTTACCATACTACACCTCTTTGCTTCCCGATTAATAGGAAACATTTCACTAATTAAGTCAACAAGCAAACTACATATGACTCATATACAATTATCTTATTAGAAATCTATATATCCAATAAAACATTTCATGGATAATGAATATAATATGAAACTTTTATGTTCAAGGAGATATTTTATTAATTTAAGACCACCATAATAAAAAGAAATCATAAAGGCATGCTTGGTGTTATTTTTTATAAAACATAATAATCTTGATATTATAACCTGGAGTGCTAGATTTTCTTCTTACCTCATGAGCATTTCAGCCAAACTCTTTGCATCTGGGGAAAGAAAATTTATATTAGCACATGATAATAAACTCTGACATTCATTTAGCCACTTATGACAAATATTCTAGATGACTCTATTCATCTTAAAATAACCATATTTAAAATGACATATTAAAATATACCAAGATCACTACTAATGATTCAGAATCTTCTCGTTTCCTTATTTCTTCATGGGAACTTTATGTTCTTACTTACAAATAAATAAAATAACTACTGTGAGACCGTAACATTTCCAAAGTCACAGTGGATTAGTGCTTGGTTGTTAAGTGAGAAAGATTGGCAGTTTGGACTCAACTGCTAATCCACAGGAGAAAGAAAATCTTTAATTCTGTGAAGATTATACTTGGAAACACTACGGGAAAACTCCACTGTCCTGTAATGTGCTTGAGTCAGGATCAACAACAACGGGCTCAGTTTGGTTATTTACTTTCAGTCACTTCATATGCATGTGAAATCTGGAAAATTAATAAAGAAGGTAGAAAATAATAGATGTCTTTGAATTATAGTATTGGCAAAGGATAGTGAATGGACCTTGAGAAACATGAAAACATCTGTCTTGGATGAGGTGCAGTGAGAATGCGCCTTCACAGCAAGGAGGGAGCGGCTCTGTCTGATGTCCTTGGACATGTTAAAAGGAAGGACCACTCCTGGCGAGGACATCACGTTTGTAAATCAGAAAGCCAGCAAACAAGTGATGGGTTGACACAGTGGCCACAACAATGGGCTCCAAGACAGAACGGACTGTGAGAACGGAGCAGGACCAAGCAGTGTTTGTTCTGCTACACATGAGGTTATTATCAATTGAAACACAATCAATGGCACACGAGAAGACATCTATTTGTCATGTCTAGAAAAATCTCACTTTATTTTCTCACTCAGAAGTTTAACTTTGAAAGTAACTCGTTTATGGAGTACCAGGACTTTTTTTGTTATAAAAATTCCAAATTTGAAAAAGAAAAAAAAATACATATGGCATAGTACTTCGGTTTAAAATGGTGTTATTTTAGAGCTATGAGTTCCCTAAGTGGGTGTAGTGAGAAATGATCTTTACTGTTTTGACACATTGTTGTTTATTTCAAATTCACAAATACAAATTTTTCCTTATTTTTTTTTTTCAGGGAGGACATTGCTAGCCAAAACGTGGCTACCTTCTTGACTAATACTGTAGAAAAGTTACTATTGTTTTTTTTTTTTATGGCAGGAAAGCTAAAGTTTATTTTTGCATGTTGTAGGTAATTTATTTTTTAATAAAATTTTATTTCAAGTTTTATTTTAATGAACATTTACAACGAAGTTAGATTTTCATTCATTCATTATTGTACATTTTACCCCCTCGCCCTCCCTTTCCCCTCCCCAATTTCACTTTTTAAAAAATATTCCTTCATTGTTGCACAATTAGCTCCCCCGTCCCTTTACAATGATACATCTCTTACTTTGGGCTGTTGTTGTACATGTAATGCTTTATCATATATTTCTGAATGGATAGGATAACTATGGTATACTCACACAATGGAATACTATGCAGCCCTAAAAAGTGAGCTAGTAAAATATTATACAACATGGGAGACCCTGTAGCACATCATGCTGAGTGAAAGATTTTAATCACAAAAGGAGAAATACTGCATAGCACCACTGTTATAAAGCAGGTCTGACGTGGCGGGAGGTGGGGGTGCGTGGGTCGGAGGAGAATAGGATAAAAGTGGATAGATAAAAAAAATTATTCTTTTAAAAAATATTTTATGGCATTATATTGAAACTCTCACTTTTCTTAAAATATATTCTTTTTACACATTTGTCTTAACAAAACAAATGTTTTCTTTGAATATGAAACAATTGTACCCCTTTCTCTTTTCATTTCTCTGTTAAATGTTTTGATCTTGATTGCACAGTTCAATAAACAGAATTTTTGATATGAATTCAATTGATTATGAGATTGGTTTTACAAGTAAAAACCAACCAACATATGTAGGAACATTTCTAGTCATTATTTTGGGCTGACATTTAAAATGAACCATTTTCTGATTGGGAAACAGTGTGCTATTTCTGAGGTCCATGAACAGCCAGAGTAATAATGGCGTAGTGAACAGCCACTACCATGAAGAAAAGTCCAATCTTCAAGTCGACCATTCTATTCTTCCCGGGTAACCTCAGCTCAGGGCTCTGATTCTGTGCACAGATGGAGTCAGTCTGGGAAATGAAGCAGGTCCCATTCAACCCACCCACATGGTGAAGCAAAGAAGCAAAACAGTGTTTAATTTCCTAGCTCATGTCTTTATATTTATCTGCAAAGACAAAGTAAATATTATGATGAGTTTCTTCTCTTCCTGAATGACTTAGCACTTAAAAAGTAAATACATGTATGGAATGCCAGAAGCTTGGGATTAATTAGTGTCACGTAACAGCTCAGCAGTGGCTAATACAATGCTCTAATAACGAAGGGAAATACAAAGGTGCAAATACTTTGAACTCATTTTCTGAGAGTGACTCAGACTCAAATGTCTTCAGGAATCATCTAGTTCCGTTGCTGTGCTCATCAGCACTGTTCCTTTCCATGAAGTCACCCAACACAACTCGGTTGTCGTTGTTTTAAGCCTTTAAATCTAGCTAAGATATAAACTTACTATAATGTCTAAGAGATGGAAACAATACTAGCATACTCTAAGTGGAAATGCTAGTTGTTGCTTATAATCAGTGGGTATTTCCTTCCGTTACACTGTTCCACAGACCTAAGAGCCACAAGCAAGGTGGTCAACTCTTCCCTGTATTTAACACCATATAGCAGACCCTTTTCTCTTTCTTAGTAGTTTACAAAGTCAAATCAATCCAGGAAAAAAATCAAACCACTACGCTCCTTAAAAGTGAGGAGAGCTTACTCTGGACATGCAATCAGTAAAGATCCTTCACTAGACCAATGGTAAAGAAGAGGATCAATAAAATGAAGAAAACATATAATGAGATAGAGTGGTACAATGGTTGCTACAATGGGCTCAAACATACTATTGTGTAGATGGCACAGAACTGGGAAGTGTTTCATTCTGTTACAAATTCACCATGAGTCAAATGTGACACTATGTCATTTACCACCAACAACATAATAATGCTTTCTGAAACCATTTAAGAACCATTCAAACATTTTCACATAACTGATCTGTCCTCTACGCCTCAGCTTTCTTTCTAGTTAAAGGTTTTAAGTTTCTCAACCACTCCTCCTGTTGACACAATTTCTTGTTAATTCCCTACTTTGGAGTCTTATCTATTAAAACACTATGATTTATTATTCTTTTTCTATTAAATGAGAGTGCCAAGCAAAAAAACCCACAACTGGTAATTTTTTAATATTTTCTTGTTCATATATCAGTAAGCGCACAATGCTCATTAAATGTATTGTAAATGAATTCCTACAACTAAATATGAAACTTAACAATGAATCCTATTAAATTTTATCCTCTTGACTTTAGCCTTTTGAAATCCCTTAATATTTGGACTCTGAGCTTTTTCCACCTGGACTAGTGCCACCTCAAAAATCAGGTCAGCCTGCTAACGCTTCCAGCTGCAGCTTGATTCCCCAACACTAATCAATCAACCCTGTCAAAACGTAAATGTGGGCCATCCAGATCTCCAGCGATTCCTATGATTTCCTCAATGCTCACAAACCATCTGCTCTATCATTCATTTTCAGTCCATAATTTCTAAAATCTAAAGTTTAAAAAAATTAGCATTCTGTCGAATTGGAACCAGTTCATATCTGACCTTCCAAAGAGTTTTCAGAGGCAGTAAATACTAAGGAAGAAGATTGCTCATCTTTTTACTCACAGACCAGCTGGTGGATTAGAGGTGCATATCTTTGTGGCTGGCAACAAAACTTCTTACCACTAAGGCATCAGAGCCCCCTTCTCAAATGAATTTAGTGTATAACTATCTTCCTTAGATTTCTCTTGAATGTTCTTGGGGTTATAGCTGGAGAAGATGTTCAGAATGCTAAAATGTTATCCTTTAGGGCCTAGGGACCATTTTCCCATGCCATCTTGCCTAACCTTTCAATGGTAAAAATGTTTTGCCTTGCCCTAGATTTTCAGCATTTACCAGAACTCACATTAGGCTGCTGATTATCTGTAATTTTTTTAATAGTTCTTTGTAAATATGTATCTTTTATCCTAGTAATAGGGAGCTCTGGTGGCCTAGTGGCAAGAAGCTGTGTGCTTCCAGGCCACCAGCTGCTCCACAGGATAAAGTTGGGCAGTTTCCTCCTGTGCAATTAACTGCCTCTGAAAACCCACCAGAGGGTCAGCTACGGGTCAGTTCCAACTCTGTGGTTGTGGTTGTTGTTGTTAGGTGCTGTTGAGTTAAGCACGATTCATAGTGACCCTATGAACAAAAGATCTGAACCTAGTCCTGTCTTGCACCATCCTTGCACTTCGTGATACAAAAGAGCCCATTGCAGCAGTCACCATGTCAATCCACCTGGTTAAGGGTCTTCCTCCCCTTCACTGACCCCTCACCCTTCCCAACATCATGTCCCTCTCCAAGAAACAATCCCTTCTGTCTGAAGGATGTGAGGTGAAGCCTCATCATTCTTGCCTCCAAAGACCACTCCAACTGCACCCTCTCCATGACATATCTATTCTTTCTCTTGGCTGTCCATGGAATGTTCAGTTCTCCTCTCCAACACCACAGCTCAAAGGCATCAATTCTTTTTCTGTTATCCTTATTCATTGTCCAGATTTCAGATGCATACCTAGTAACTGGAAAGACTATGACCTGAATCAGATGCACCTTAGTCCTCAAACTGACATCCCTGCTCCTCAATAATTTGGAAAGGTCCTAACTGCAGATTTTCCCAGTACAATGCACAACAATAATAGCAACCATGAGCAACATTTGACAACCCACTCACAGTTTGCTAAATGTTGAAAAGAAATTAACTGAAATTAATCAAGGACTCTATTTTCTCAAGCATCCTGTGCAATCTCTCCTTTTCTTTATCCTCCTTC